GTATTTTATTACAATTATCATAAATGTTAGTGATGTATGGAAAGGCTTTGTATGTTTTGTCTTTTTTATTTTTTATATTAAATCTATTTTTATAATACTGTGCTTTCCAAATTTTTAAAGTTTTCTCAGGATAATTGTTCAGAATGAATTTTTGTTCTAATTCATTTAATTCAATTTTTTGGTCCTTTTCATTGGTAGTTCTTGTTTATATATTTTTTAACTCCATTATATATGTATTCTTTTTTATGGCATCTGGTATACAAAAGTGGTAGTTTATTGTTTTATTTACATTGGATGGTTTTTTTATAAATTTTAAATGAAAATTTATGGTTTTCATTTGTTATTGTTATATCTAAAAAATTAATTTTATTACCTTTTTCAAGTTCTATATCAAATTTTATATCCTCATTTATACTATTTACTGTGTTGAGAATTATTTTATCATTCATTATTTGATTATTAAACACTAACAAATAGTCATCTACATATTGCATTACAGTTTTTACCCCTGGAATGTTTTGTATTTTTTTGTCTACCTCTTTCATTACTAATTCAGGAAGTCTTGGCCCATCTTTAACCCCATACTAACCCCATCAGTTTATCTGTAAAAATTATCATACACTCCACAATAAAGGAGTTTCTTAACCTGACTTACTGTAAAATAGTTTACCGAAGGAATTATTTTGGATTAAAGAGACAACAATTCACTGAATCATCACATGCTTAATTTGTCATTAATAAATTATTTTTTATTCCATTTTTTCTTCTCATAATAAACATTTTTAGCAATTTCTAATATTTAACAGCAAAAGAACTAAACAAAAAAACTCTTTTATATGACTACAAAATTTCACTTACGTTTGTTGAATCAAAGATGAATTCCAAATTATAATTTTGTGAGAAAAAAGTTAATTTATTACTTTCTATGTATGATTTCATTGCTAAACAATTCTATAAACTGCAACTGTCACCGGGACCTACGACCTCTTACAACTTAATTCCATTGTGACTTGCAAAATATCCAGTGAAGAGGCACTTAATTTGCTTTTGTCATGACAATCAAATTAACAAAAAAGTATTTATCTAATTATTCTGTATGTCACTACGAGTGAAAATGACAGTTTAAAGCATTTTTAAATGATCGCATTAATTTAATTTAAATTTTTGTAGGAATAATCAACAATAGCCAAACTATCCAATAAAAGTGATTTATTAATAATTTTCCAAGTTTCATTTTGGTAAAATTGCAAAAATAATCTGCACTTGAAATGTAAAATTAGAACTTAAAATAATTTTGGGTTTTGATATGAAACTTTTATCAAAAGATCTTATGACAATTACTTAAATAACAAGTTTAATCAAAATTTATTCATACAAAATACAATTACTCATGTAAGAAAATATGCAAAAATAGAAAGATTAAGTACAAAATTAATTCTTACATTAAGTAATTTATTATTAATTAACAATTATCCATTATTTAGTAATAAAGAATTTTAATTTAACAAAACAACTTATTATAAAAGATCTAAGCACATTTTATGTACATAATAATGTATTTATCTTAACACTTTAATCTCATCTAATAATCAAATCTCTTAAAATTTTACATTGTCTGTAATTTGCTAAACTGTGAATTTAAACTTTAGTCTGTGTGGATTTTTGAGGAGCTCCAAGCTTTATCATGGATTATAGATATTTGCAATTAATGGAATGTTGTTTAAAGAGCGCTCTAAAGCAAATTAGCATGGCATCATACATTAATTAACAACATTATCCAACTAGTAATAAATTCCAAATCAAATCTTTATGTATGAATACAAGTCTAACAAGTGTGAGATAAAGCAAAATGCTATTGACTATCACTGTTCTTAGAGAATAAAATCATAAAGAATTTATACATCTCTCATCGAAAAACAAAATTAGGAAACTAATAGTGAAGAGTTATATAGAATATGATTTAACACTTACAACAATAACAACTATAAAATAAAATCTGTAATATTAAAAAAGAGTATTTTATCAAAGACACTTGTGATCTTCTCTGCTTGTGAATGCAGAGAAAATATTTCATCATGAAGCACTCATTAACAAAGAGTAAAAACTTTCAACTCTTTAATTAAATAAAATACATCAAAATTAAAAGAATATTTACTTATAATTTGTGTAGCATTATTAAAAATTAAAGGCATAAAAAAGGTATTGTTATGCATTTAATATAAAGTTTCTTAGCTAAATTAAATTCTTAAAATTTTTTAAAGTTTTATGTAATCAATAAAGCAAAAGACAGTCTTATTTATTGTGTTAACCTTCAAAAATTTTTTATAATGCAAATTAATATGAAAGAGAATAAAACAACTTCAAAATCATTATACAATAAGGAATATAACAACAGACAAATTAAATGTAAAACAAAATCACTCTCTTTGTAATATTATAGGCCATTGAAGTATCCTTGAAGTCATCATTACTTTAATATTACTTATTAATATTTATGAAGCCATATTGTTACTGTGAGCCCGCAGATTTTTACGGGGCTCTTAAAAATTCGAATTTTATTTTAAGTGTAAATATCTTTGGAAAAAACCAGAGGAATTTGAACTAGATCAAATTTCACTGATTGTACTAACAACTAGCTGGGAAAGTTTACACTTAGGTGTGAAGAATGCACCGTCATCATCAACAAAAGTCAATCACGTGTCAGTTTTCCCACATGAATGACATAAAAACTCGAATCTCTGGAAGCTCAGGGCGATCTCTCGAAAGTTATACTTGTCTATGTGTGCATCTCATCTCCTGGACCTCCATATAATGGACTCAACCCGACGAAAGGAGAAGATACCATATAGAAAACCATAGGAACTTCCATATAACACTTAATCGCCACATAGAATTCTCTTTGAGGTAATTATTTGAACCTGCAGACTCTCTCTCTCTCTCTAAGCGTATTTTTAGTTTAACTCTTGGAGGAAGGAGTATAGTATGTTAGCCACATTTATTCTGAGTTGTATCTAACCGCATTTAACCTATATATTGTTATCGCCTTATGTATCACAGCTTAGCCATTCAATAAATGTTTATTATTTTGTTGAACCTGTCTCCTGTCATTTAAAGACACCTGCCAGCTTCCTCACCCCCTCCCCACTTGATTTGCCCTCCTAGCCATCCAACGACCCCGAGATCAGGTTTTACCAGCCTGTGCAGAGTAAGTGGTCATTTGGGGATTAACCAGTGACCCACTGCCAATCTCACATTACTTATGAATATCGTCTAAAATCTTGAATTATTTGAAATAATTTAATGATTAATTGTTGAAAGTTTTCATTTATTTTACAAATTTTATTGTTTATTCTTTCTCCATAAAATAATTTTAGTGTTTAAAAGAAAAGTTTACCTTCTGAATCAATTCCATTTACAAAATTAAGAAATATAATGAAGACTCAAATTATGATGTAATTAATAGTCTGTGTTCCGCGAGTATTTAAAAAAACTTTCACAATACACAGTGCATCCGAAAAGTTGCTGTGCATTAAGAAATTTCTCAATGTACAGCAGCTTTTACAAAGTTATGCATACTGTATTGAATACAAGATCTGTAAGTTGTCTATTTTGTACCAGTTGACCATACAATATTGCATATGATTTACAGGTCTCATATGCAACACTGTATAATTTTAATGTCATTACAAATTTCTCACTGCACAATAACTTTTCAGACACCTTATACATTTATTGTGATTTTCAAAAATTCTCCTTGGTGTGTTTTGTAGAATGAATTTTATAATTACTATACAGGGTGAATCAAAAATAGAAGGACAGTAGATGGAATAAGGTTTGTGTTAGGGTTATTACTATAACAATGGTGTATATTTAACTTGGTTATGGTTATAGTTGAAAAATTATATCAGAGATGTGTTTCAAGAAATTAATACAGAAAGATAAATGTGCAAAAATGTTTGTCAAAGCATGGAATGATGAAATGTAGACTTCAAAGCTGTGTAAATTGTGATGGACAGCAGTTTGAACACCTGTGTTGATAAAATTGTATTGTATTGTTTAGTAAATATAATTATATATGTAATCTCAAAATTTGTGTGTGTATGTAATCTCAGTAAATGTTATTATTTACAGTCCAGCTACTTTTGGTTCACCCTGTATTTGTACAAATGTTAGTTTTATTTAATTAAAAATTTTAAATTACTTTAAAAAAGATCATCTATAAATATATTTAAATTATTTTTTGAATATCATTTTAAGATATTTTCTTTCAATTAATACAAAAATGTTTAAATTTGCAAAGATTATTTTATAAAATTTGTCTAAATTGTAAAATTATTAAAGGTTTATAAAATGTTAAAAATTCAAAAATTATCAAGAAATTTTGTTGTAATTAATTTGATGTTTAAATTTTTGCATGGGGGAAAAAACTTAAACTCCAATTTTATGGTTTACATAAATCAGAAGTATATCCATTTCTCTTAGTCTACAGATTAGCACACATCAAACATTAATTTCTTGTTGTGGAACAAAATTTGGAAGAATTTCTTTGTATGGATGTTGAATTGCATATATTAAAATAAATGCATCATTTTCTTGGATCACATTTGGTTAAATCAGTGATTCTCAAACTTTTTCAGGTCAGATTCCCTTAGTTACATAACATTATATCCAATGCACCCACTGCACCCCAACTTCCCTAATCCATTTTCCCTTCAGTGAGAAAGGCTTGGAAATATTCTTACAAAAACCTTTTCACAAGCCTCAAACTTTGTGTCCTTACTGTATATTGTTCTCAACATCTGGAAACCATTAAACAAAATGTTTCTTCTTACTCATTTTAACAGAGGAAAGAAAAAAGTTGTCAGTGACTCCAACCTTCAGTACCCTGCTGCCCACTTGCTTCTTTTTGCCCCCTAGATTTACTCACCACCCACATAAGGGGGTAGCACCCACTTTGGGAACCATTAGGCTAAATCTATTCAAATAACAAAAATAATTACCTTTATCATCATTCATATCTTGCAATCTTAATTTTGCTTGAATCTGTAGTCTTTCAGAAAAGGTGTCTTTAATTACTACATTGTTCTTGTCAGCAACACTCATGCGATTGACGGAAGTTCTTCTCTTCAGAGGAGGAGGAACTTTTCTCAGATCGATGTCTTTAATATCTGGCTTCTGTAACTATTAAAATTTTATATCTAATCACTTTCATAATTATATCAATATAATTGGTAAAGTATTAATCTTAAATATAGTAATCAAATAAATTTACTTGTAGTAATCAAATAAGTCAAATAAATAAATATTAAAAATTTTAATGTTTCTCCTGATATTGGGCACGTTAGAAACACATTCAAACTTTTTCATACGTAGCTTGTTAATACTTGTTTGGAATGTGGTAGATGCATGTATTCAAATGGATTAGAAAAAATGTCGAAAGTATGGACTATGTAGAGGTACATGTCAAGGTTATAAAGGAATGCATCACAAAAGCAACTGATTAGTACTAAATTCTGTATCAAACTTAGAAAAAAACTTTACTGAAACATTTGATATGCTTAAGAAAACATGTGATGATGCTACTGTGTGCATTGAGCAGTTGTATGACCAAAACAATTACGATTGGATGAGATGTAGCAATGCAACAATGCCTCCCAAGAGGACTTTCTATGCAAATTATTCCTATCTAGGCATTAGACATCTAAAAAAAATTCAGAAAATTCCATGTGGCCAACCCACTGGTCTAGTGACCACTCATGGCTGACTACCAGCATTTGGTGATTTAGTTTGGCCTCTGGTAGACAGACTGTCGGCCTACTGTTCTCAAGTCCCAGAACTGAATCCGGGTGGATAAAAAAATCTCAAATTTTCAGGGGAGATGGTCCATCCCAGATATATTGAGACCTGGCCAAAACATGATATGGACATGAATAACAAGCATAATTGGCATTTTCAGCATTTTTGAAAGAGGTGATGCATCATATCCATTTTCACACTGTTCTGAAGAAGTTAACAGAGGTGCAACATGAACATGATGTACCCATCAAGACACTGATATCTTAAACAGAATAATTATTGGCAGCAAAACCTAGTGTTTCTTGTACAATCCATACAGCAAACATGCTTCACCAACATAGAAGCCAACCATTTCACCAAGACAGTAAAATCTTGTCTCAACAAATCCAGAGGGAAGTAATCCTTGCACTTTTTTTCAATAGGAAAGACCAAGTGCATTACAAGTTTGTTTCCAATGGTACATTCATTAATATTGGCATTCTTGGTTACCACTGACACAGTAAAATGAAAATGGTCCCATCTCTGACAAGCAAAAAGAAGAGTTCTTCTTTAGTGCTGTGTTGATAACATACATCTAACCAAAACAAATAAAGATTTACAATATTGATATCAATATTTTATATTTTAGAATATCAATATATCAAAACCAATATACCTGCAAAGCATATGTGAAGCAGGTTAATTAAAAGAGGAGTACCTCAAACCAGTAGCGTTTAATGCTACAGGTCAGAGGGAGTGCTCCACTAAATGTAATGTAATGTATCAAAACCAATATATGTTTACAATATCAATATTTATGTTCTAGATTTCAGGATATTGATATCAATATTGTAAACCTTTATTAATTATAGTTTTATGTAAATTACCAGCTCAGCACTAATTGAGAGAACTGTAACATCTTCCTCCAGAATTTTTAATGTTGTTCTAGTGCAATTTTCTAACAGCTGGAAAATTAAGTTGAAAGAAGTAGAACTGACTATAGTCATTGACAATAAATACATTCAACATTGTTAATAAAAGTCATTATTTTATTGATTTTGGTATTTATCTAGTATATCAATATCAAAACTCTAGATTTTAGAATACTGATATCATGAACATCAGTTTCAGTTTTATATATCAGTTTTCAACGTTATAAATTTTTTGTATTTATTGAAATTTTTTTTATTACCAACATATCAAAAGAATATCAATATCAAGCCCAATATTGATATCTATATCAAAATTTTGGTTTAGTATGGCCCTATTCTCCATTGAAACAATGTCCCAGTACATCCAGCACCCCTAGTCAATGAATATCAGGCTAAATATCAGAAATCTGTACTTTTACAACATTCTTCCTTATCCCTTGTACTACTATGGGGTCAATAGTGACCCCAGTACTACCTATTCTTGAGTTTTATACTTTTTACAAAAATGTTTGTAAACTTTTTTCCTTTTAATATTTTTCTCAGTTGTGCCTGTCAAAAAAGGATTTTCTGCCAGAGGCTTTATTTTGCAAGTTACATTAAAACTCACATCTGTTATCATAGGATAAACTGTGAACCCAATGTTAGCGTTTTTAATTTTGATAAGTCTTTGTGTTTTTTCTCACATTATATGTGGTGACTTTTGTATGGAATTGTAAAATATTCATTAATGATTGTACTTTATCATTTCTGACATTTCCTGGTTGTCTTCAGATAAATCATCATTTGACAAACTGCAGGAATTATACTGCTCCTACATTTCTGTTATAGCAAAACGTCATAGTCATCATTTGAGTGATCTTCATAATTATTGTACAAGACATCATCTTCATCACTTTCATATCTATCACCCACTTTCTCAAACAACAGACATCATCTTCATCACTTTCATATCTATCACCCACTTTCTCAAACAACAGATTGTGAATTTCACTGTCAATACANAAAAACAATAAAATATTATACTTCAGATGTTAATTTAGTATCAAAAACGTAAAATATTTGAGTAGCCCAAGAAATAGCCGAAGATTGCAGCGCCACAGCACTAGCGAAAATTTAAATTTGCCGACTGGAATGATTTCGGATAACCAGCTTTTGGATAAACGACGCTCTACTGTAGTATAAATTTATACAGGGTGATTCAACAGGTCTTAATCAAACTTTAAAAGTAGGTCAAAAATACAAAGACAAACCATTTTTAGGAACATATAGTAGCAAATGCCATCTGAAATTATTAGAAGTACAGAAAGAATCATGCAGAAAAGAATACACATAAAGTATACATGTTTACAGTATTAGAACACTCAGGTGGTGTTTGCAGCTATGTTTCTAGGTAATTAAGTTTTTGAATTTACTAATTGTAGCTGTATTATTTGTTCAGTGAATGGTTGTCTCTTTAATCCGAAATAATTCTTTTGGTAAACTATCTTACAGCAAGCAAGTTAATAAACTCCTTTATTGTACTGTATTTTCACATATGCATTTTGGGCTAGTTTTATTTTTCTAGTCCCTCTTCGGTGCTACAGGAAGTATACATTACAAACATTGAGTTAACAAACATGACAACATGAGTAGAAATGTCAAGTAACACAAGGAAACACTTTTTACAATACCTTTAAGAACTTCACCCACTTTTTTCCCTGAGCTAAATTGTTAACTCATACAGTACTTCTATTTACAATGTTAAAATATCTTTGTGGGCGTAAAACGCATTAAAATGAAACAATGTTGCTATAAATAATAATACAATCATAAAACTCAGTAACAAATAAGTAATATAAAAACTTTTAAAAAGTTTTTTACAAAAACATACATACAGGTTTTTCTGTTATACTCTTTGAAAATATTCCATTCTAACACTAAACAATAGTTATGTGTTGTATAAATCCTTAAATGGTAATTTACACACAATAACTTTTACATACATTTGGTGCTTGGTTTTACAAAACAATCTACTAGTTTATTGTCACACCCTCTATAATGTCGTACCATAGTTGTTCAATTTGCATGCCATTAGAGATATTCATTAAATTATTGTCATTATGTTTTATAATTTCAATATGTTCTTTAAATTTTATTTTATACATATTTTTCTCTACATGCAAGATTTTATTATTATTTCTATCAATATTATAGTTACTATTTTTGATATGGTTATACCAAAGAGAGTTGTTATACTTTAATCTAATGGCTGCCTCATGTTCTTTGATCCATAATTCTAAAGCACATCCTGTTTCACCTATGTAATTTTTTGGATTTTGGCAATTACAGTTGATTTTATAGACAATGCCTGTTTTTTTCAATTTATCACTATTAGACTTATATGTTTTTAATCTATCAATATGAATTTTATGTGAAATTTTATTGGTCAAAGCCGGGTCCAAGACTATATTCTCTTTTTTAAGTATTTTATTACAATTATCATAAATGTTAGTGATGTATGGAAAGGCTTTGTATGTTTTGTCTTTTTTATTTTTTATATTAAATCTATTTTTATAATACTGTGCTTTCCAAATTTTTAAAGTTTTCTCAGGATAATTGTTCAGAATGAATTTTTGTTCTAATTCATTTAATTCAATTTTTTGGTCCTTTTCATTGGTAGTTCTTGTTTATATATTTTTTAACTCCATTATATATGTATTCTTTTTTATGGCATCTGGTATACAAAAGTGGTAGTTTATTGTTTTATTTACATTGGATGGTTTTTTTATAAATTTTAAATGAAAATTTATGGTTTTCATTTGTTATTGTTATATCTAAAAAATTAATTTTATTACCTTTTTCAAGTTCTATATCAAATTTTATATCCTCATTTATACTATTTACTGTGTTGAGAATTATTTTATCATTCATTATTTGATTATTAAACACTAACAAATAGTCATCTACATATTGCATTACAGTTTTTACCCCTGGAATGTTTTGTATTTTTTTGTCTACCTCTTTCATTACTAATTCAGGAAGTCTTGGCCCATCTTTAACCCCATACTAACCCCATCAGTTTATCTGTAAAAATTATCATACACTCCACAATAAAGGAGTTTCTTAACCTGACTTACTGTAAAATAGTTTACCGAAGGAATTATTTTGGATTAAAGAGACAACAATTCACTGAATCATCACATGCTTAATTTGTCATTAATAAATTATTTTTTATTCCATTTTTTCTTCTCATAATAAACATTTTTAGCAATTTCTAATATTTAACAGCAAAAGAACTAAACAAAAAAACTCTTTTATATGACTACAAAATTTCACTTACGTTTGTTGAATCAAAGATGAATTCCAAATTATAATTTTGTGAGAAAAAAGTTAATTTATTACTTTCTATGTATGATTTCATTGCTAAACAATTCTATAAACTGCAACTGTCACCGGGACCTACGACCTCTTACAACTTAATTCCATTGTGACTTG